CCAACTGTTAAGTTATAACTCTGAACTTAAAACTTTTAAGTTGTGATTTTTTTTTTTTTTTTTTTTTTTTGAGGCAGGATCTCATTATGTAGCCTTGGCCTGGAACTCACTTTGTATCACTTTGTAAACCAGGCTGTTCTCAAACTTACAATGATCTGCTTACCTCTGCCACCTGAGGGTAGATAAAGGCCTGTGCCACCACTCCCAGCCTATGTTATAGTGTTTAAAACTTTTGAGCCTTCGTACAAGGCTGAAAAGAAGACAGGACAGTTATCATGACTGTGTTTTATAGATGAACTCAGAGAAATGTGATGTACTCAGTTCGCACAGGAGATGGATTCCCTTCTGGTCCTCATTCTTCATCTGTACTTTCAACTACTCCCTTTCTACTGGCTCCTTAATCTCAACATAAAATGTCCTTCAGTCACCTTGACCTTATTAAAGAGAATTGGCCACCTTCCATCCTCTTCTTGTCTGCCCTTGATATTGATTCTTCTGTGTTCTGATCCCCTTTATCTCTCATTTGCTCCTCAGCTCATGGTGACCCATCTGCTGTCATCACTACTGTGGCTTTCTTAAACTCAACCAGTGACATTATTGTCCCCACTGCATCATCTCACAATTTGCCTTCTAGTAAAGAGGAATGCTGACAAGTTATTCTCAACAGTATTTGAATAAAATAAGTTGAAATTATATGGTGCATCTGTATAGTTCTGACAGGAGAGGATTTCTGTGTGAACTGAGTGTTCAGGATTAATGACTCGTCTTCAAGTTCTGCATATACAGAGGCTGGTTGAAATGCTGCACAGACATTTCAAACCCTGTTTTTTCTCACTACTCACTTACTTCTGGGGTCAAGTGTTGCAGGGAAAATGTGTATCATCACACAACCACTGTGCCTATTTTGTTCTGGTATGATGTTGACTCTGTTACAGTAGCAAGAAAAGCCCTTCGAGGGCCTGGGTGGAAACTTAACATTTCAGCTTTGCTGGGTCTATGGGGGAGTCAGTTACCCCTTCCACCCAATCAGTTGACTTTAGCTGCATGTGGGGGAGGGGCTAAGGATATATAAGCTGGGAACACCATGAGGCACCTCTCTTGCCATTTTGTGTGGCTGTTGGCTGTTGGGAAGGCTCAGGATCCATATTTGAGTGTGAACTTTCCAGTGCAGCCATAAATGGTGTGTGTGTGTGTGTGTGTGTGTGTGTGTGTGTGTGTGTGTGGGCTGCCCACTCTTCTGTAAATAAACTCCCACCCTATGCTCTGTTAGCAAGCCCTGTAAACTTGTTAGGATTTCAAAAAAAAAAAAAATTAAAAAAATGTAGGAAACAGTCTATCTTGAAATGGAGATCTTCTTTAAAGGGTAAAAACTCATTCAATTTTATATCTTACAGGGTTTATACTGAGTTCAATATTGTATAACTGTATTAATTCAACTGTAAACCTAAAAATTTACAGCCAATCTTGAAACAGATTCATCTTAGCTCAGGAAATTGTTATTGAATATGTCAATGCTGTTGTCATGAAATGCTTCTTCCAATTATATGGTTATTTTTAAAAAAAGCATAAGAACTATGCTGGAAGCAAAATCTATGCAAATGGAAAGGCATGAAGTTAATATAAAAAGTGAATTATTATTTTTTGACAGAGTCTCCATAGTCCCAGCGTGCTTGGAACTCACTATGTAGACCAGGCTAGCCTCAGTCTCACCTGTCTTTGCCTCCTGAGTGCTGGGATTAAAGGCACGCACCACCATGCCAAGTGTAAAAGTCAATTATTTTAAAATGGTTATATACATTTATTTTTATTTTATGTGTATGAGTATATGAGTGTTCTCTCTGTCTCTGTCTCTGTCTCTCTCTCTCTTTCTCTCATTCTGTGTATACCACATACGTGTCTCTTGTGGAGGCCAGAAGAGGGCATTGGATTCCCTGGAATTGGAATTACAGAAGGTTGTGAGCCACCAAGTGGGTAATGGGAATGGAACCTATTGTTCTTCAAGAGCAGCAAGAACTCTTATCTACTGAGCCATCTCTCCAGCCCCTAAAAGCTATGTTTTTAATAAGTTTACAAAACAGTAGGTTATCCATATGGCTTTTTCATGCATCCTTAGCATTGGTTATCTCTCCCACTTCCTTTTCTGTTCTAACCTTAAAACTCCACCCTACTTAAACCTTTCTACCCAAGCATTCCTCTTTCCAGTTTCATAACACCTGTGTTATCTTATTCTTCCTCCCTTAAGGCCTTTCTTTTTTTATTCTCCCTTTCCCTCTAATGGTCCCTTCTTATCTTCCTGGCCTCTACATGTACTCTAATTTAAACATAGTACTCAAAGAATTCATAGCTAGAATCCTCATATGAGGGATTCCTGTAAATTTCATAATTTTATTTTTCTTTACAACTAAATAAAATTCCATTGCATATATGTGCCACATTTTTATTATCCATTCATTAGCTGATGGCCATCTAGGCTGGTTCTATTTCCTCGCTCTTATGAATAGAGCAGCAATAAACGGATGTGCAAGTATCTCTGTTGTAGAATACAGAGTCTTTTGGGTGGTATAGCTGGGTCATATGTCAGCTCTATTTTTAGCTTTTTTTTGTCTTTTTGAGGCAGGGTCTCCCTGTAGCCCCAGCTGTCCTGGAACTCACTATGTAGACCAGGCTGGCCTTGAACTCACAGAGATCCGCCTGCCTCTGCCTCCCAAGTGCTGGGATTAAAGGCATGTGCCATCATGCCCGCCTTTATTTTTAGCTTTTGAAGAACCTCCATAAAATGAATGTTACCAGTTTACACTCCTTCCAACAGTGAATAAGTGTTCTCTTTTCCCCATCTCCTCAGTGACTCCCTATGAATTGTTGGTCAGGGAGGCCCCAGAGGCTCCCAAAACAACACAAATTATTGTCATTGCTCTTGGTGGCCCACCTTAACTAGACCCTTCTAAAGTGTGTGTGTGAATTTTCTAAGGGCTGGGATTACAGGTGTGCACTACAATGCCCAGTTTATGCAGTGCTGAGGATTGAATTTGGGACTTTGTGTATGCTACACAAACACTTTGCCAACTCAGCTACATTTCCACCTTCGTTTAAAATTTTTTAATTTCTGTCAGGTGTGGTGGCTCACGCCTTTAATCCCAGCACTCAGGAGGCAGAGAAAGGTGAATCTCTGTGAGTTCAAGGCCAACCTGGTTTACATAGTGAGTTTCAGGCCAGCTGGGGCACCAGGGAGACCCTGTCTCAAAAAGATAAAAAAATATATATTTATCTTTATGTTATGTACATGAATGCTGTGGTGGTTTGAATGAAAATGTCTCCCATAGGCTCCAAGTATTTGGACATTTTGTCCCCAGGTGCTGTTTTGGGAGGTTTTAGAAGGTGTGGCTCCTGGAGGAAGCATGTCACTGGGCGTGGGCTTAGAGAGTTCTTAAGCCTTGCTGGATCTCTTGCTTCCTGTGCCTGCTTGATTATGTGAGAGCTCAGCTTCTGCTCCTGCTCCAGCCACCTCCAACCACCATTCCTCCCTGCCATGACAGACTGTAATTCCCCTGGAACCATAAGCTCAAATAAATTCTTCCTTTTATAAGTTGCTTTGGTCAGTGTTTCTATCACAGCAACAGATAAGTGACTAATACAAATGCATTGCTTGCATGTATGTAAGTGCACCATGTGTGTGCAGTGCCCACAGAGGCCAGAGAAGGTGCCAGATCCCTTAGAACTGGAGTTATAGACAATTGTTAGCCACGAAATGGGTGCTAGAAACTGAACCCAGGTCCTCTGCAAGAGCAGCCAGTGCTCTTAACTGCTGAACCACCTCTCTAGCACCTAAATTTTTTTATTTTTTTGAGGCAGGATCTTGCTATGTGACACAGACTGGTCTCGAACTTGAGATTTTCCTGTTTCAGTGTTCCAAGGGCCACCATGCCTGACTTGGCTCATTGCTTTTATCCTCGGTCATTCACTGAGTCCTAAGGTTAAAAAGATTGCATCTTACACTTTTAGCCACACTATCACTGTGTGGCATTTAATTTTATTAATTATTTACTTATTCATTTTTCTGGAGTTCCAACTCACAGTCTTGAGCTGCTAGGCCAGGGCTATCTACCATTGAACTACATCCTCAGCCTATAATATTTTAAAGTTAGACAATAACAGATACTTATTTAAATTACTAGTATGGATTAAATGCAATATAATAGACTATGATTTGTCAATTTAATTTTAAAAGCATTAGAATATTAATCATCTGTCTGAAACTTGCTATGCCTGCACCTTTTTATAAATACTTTCCTTATCCTAATTTTTCCAATTAATTAGTTGGAATGATGAGACTTATTTTGTAAAATGTTTTGTCCCCATAGTCTATAAAGTAAATATATATTTTCTAAATATGTATTTAACTTTATTGCTTTAGAAAATTCATCTAAGCCACACGGTGGTCATAGTACCCACACTCTGAGCAGGTTTGGTCATCCCACTGCCTTCTTAGGTCCGTTATATCCAAACCCATGCACATTGTATTGAAGGAAGAACTTGACATGAAGCTGAGAATTAGACATTGGATATTCCATCTTTCCTCTCCTTATAGCCCTCAACTGCTATCCAACAGAGCACTCTTAGAACAGACTGAACAAATAAACCAACCAGAAGATACTCATGTCCAAAGGAACCCTTTTGAATGGTTGAAAACACCAGCATCTCCCAACAGTGGAGACTGCAGCACAAGAGGTGTCTGAGCCATACTGCTGAGGACAGCAAAGCATACAGTGGACCCTGGGAGAGTGAGAATATTCCATCCCACAGCCACAGAAAACCCACCCACATCTGTGCATTAAACAGGCTCTTTTTCCAGGGCAAGAGATGTCCAAATAGGCCCTTCCAGGCTTAGTTATAGTTCTTTGGAGACACTGGTCCTGTCTCTTAGCAAATGGAACACCTGGTTGGACCTGCTGAGGTCAGTGTGCCAAAGTATGGCTGGAACTTGGATGGAGGTTTTATTTCACTCATCTAGAAGGGTGTTCTGGAAGGTCTTTGGGAGGCTCTGTGTTGGCTAGTTGACCTCTGGTGGTCCAGGGACACCCAGGCAATAGGCTCTCCAATAAGTCCCTCAGTGATTCCATCAGTCTAATGAAGATGGTCAACACCACACCAAGAAGATACAGGTTCAACATATACTTCATGGCTGCAAAGCCCAGCTCCTTTGCAGAACAGTTGAGCTGCCTACTGCTTCTGGATCCTCTAGGCCAAAGGGCCACGACACATCAGCTTGCTGTCGCAGCAGGTTGTATAGGCACCCGCAGGCTACCCCTCTGAAGAAAATATCTCTCCCTCATCAACAACCATTAACTGCATATAAATTCTCAGGGAGGAGTGGGGCCCCATAAGCCCCACCCTGACAGGATGTTGATGGGCACAATCTTGTGCAGAAGTTTTGTACAGGTAATTACAGCTGCCCTGAGTTCACAAGGGCGTGATCACGCCATGCCCAGAAGACAGTATTGTGCTCTGTTCTACTGTTTCTTTAGCTGTTAAAGTCTCTGAACACCTTCTCCTGGGATGGTCCCTGAGACTGGGAGGGGGGTGACAAAGATGTTCCATTTATTTGCATTCAACAGTCACTTATTCTCATCACTTTGACCAGTTATGAGCCTCTGTAGTTACTGTTGCCCACTGTACAAAGAAGTCTCTCTGACCAAAGCTAAGAGCAGCACTAATCTATGGCCACAGACATAACTTAGAAGGCAGCTTGACAGGCACTTCATGTCCACTAAAAACAGCAATAGCTTCCCTACTAGGCCCATGGCCTCCCTGGCTATGGGTTTCTGTCTGGGTTTACAGTACCAGACATGAGTTCCCTCATGTGGATTAGGCCTCAAATTTTGACTAAACATGTTAACAATTACTCTGTCCTCCAATCACAAATTACATTAGTACATTTATGTTTGTAGAGCTTAGATAAATGGAGAACTTCAATACTTAATACGTGAATCCTTGACAAGTGATTTAGTTTATTTGTACTTTTTTTTGAGTTTTTAACAATGCTTTAATAAACATTAAAAATCTACATCACGTATAAGACTATTTCTTTTATTTTTTATTATTTTCTTTTATTATGTATATAGGAAAATGTACCACATTTTTAAGTTATTTTTTAATTTGTAATAACTACATGATTAGAAGAAGCATTTCATTACAGCTTCAACATATTTAGTAACACACTCCAGAGCAAGAGTACATGTTTTTCACAAGTGGCTGTATGTTTCTAGGTTCGCTGTTGAATTAACACAGTTATACAATGTTGAACTCAGTATAAACCCTGTAAGACATAAAATTGAATGAGTTTTTAACCTTTAAAAAAGATTTCCATTTCATTTTAAAATATACTGTTTCTTACATAGACTCATTGTTTTTGCTACTAACACTGAGATGTTGGCACATGCATCTCCAATCTGTATGTATCTGATTATTATTAGTAATAGTCGGTTGCACTCAGATCCTTGGCACCTGTGTATGTCTATAAAGTCATCAGGTGGATTTCAATGGTAATGTTTATCACCTCTACTAATTAACATGACATAAATTTTTATGCTTCCTCCTCAAATATAATTCATTTTTAAAATTTATTTATTTATTTTTTGGTGTGTGTATATCACACAGAACATCCCAAACCATCTTATTCATCTATACACCCACTTCCCAGATGGCACCCTCCCACAAGCGCCCCCCCACTAGAGCCCTTATACTCTGTCATCCCTGCTACTGTCTGCTGTGTTGTTGGCACCACAGCCTTTCCCCAGTACTTGTGCATTCGGTGAATCTAGTCAGCCCATCTAGAGGTCTTTGTTTTAGGAAGCTCAGCTGTTCCTCATCTAGCAGCAATCAGTTGTCAATATTCCTTCAGATAAGATTGGGGTCTGCTGTTCATTTTCCCAGTTCTATGTTGGGTTACTGTCTGGGAGTCTCTTTGAGGCTTCCACCTTGTTTGTTTATATTATTGAATACACTGATTAAATAGCCCAGTCTCTCTCATGTAGGTTATGCTACTGAATAACAAGCCTCCAAAGGGCAACAGGCAGTATTTATCTATTTCAGATAAACCAATTTATTTATTTATCTATTTTTTTATTTATCTATTTATTTATTTATTTATTCCCCCCTCCAACCAATTTATTTTTACTCTTAAGGTCGTTTGAAGATCTGTTCCTCAGGGGTCACATGGGCTTGGGAGGAGATCCTGGCTCCTTTCTTTTACCAGTTCTGCCTATGTGAAGATAAGTCAAAGGTCCTGCTCGACCATGGCTGGCTTTGCTTGGAAACATGGAAGAAATGTATCCTCTGTGTTGACCCTCCTCTTTGTAGACTGGACACTGGTTCAAGTCCAGGTGAGCTGGTTATCACAAGAACCCCACTGATTTGGGGAGAACCAATCCAGAGATTTTGGGGGTGGATAATTTTACCAGGCTTCAAGCATATTTTTCTAGAACAGGGCACTAGTACTCCCTCTTAAGCTATCTCAGGTCAATGGAAACTTCACCATATTTAAAAACCACCATGATGTATATTTTTTAGGACAATGTAAATTAACATTAGAATTTCAGATTCTAAGTTTCATTATACCATTTGACGAAAATTTGCATTCTAAAATGTAATCATGCATTAACTTAAATAATACGGAATTATTTTTTAAAAAATAGTAAAATTATGCTTAACAATTAGCAGCCAGCCAATATTTTGCTCTGGTTTGGGGCAAGTTTCATTTTCTCAAAGACATGAGACTAAGACACATGGATGGACCACGGAGTAAAGGTTGAAGGGTCATCACTGGGAATCTAAAAAAGATCAAAAAAAGGAAGACAATTATTTAACAGAGTGTTATTACATGAAAAATGTTATAATTCAAATACATTTAAAAAAAGAACAAGTCAGGGCTGGAGAAATGGATCAACAGTTAAGAGCACTGGCTGCTCTTGCAGAGTACCCAGTTTCGATTCCCAGCACCCACATGACGGCTAACAACTGTCTGTAACTCCAGTTCCAAGGAATCCTGCAGGACACGGGTGCACTCACATGCATGCAGGCAATACACTCATACACATAAAGTAAAAGTAAATAAGTTAAAATATTTTTTAAAAAGTACAAGTCCATATCAATTTTATTTCTACTAAAATCACCTACTTTTCATATTTATTTCAATCACTTAATCACACACATATGTGCTTATTATTATTATTTTTTTGACTGATTCTTTAGTCTCAGCCTGCCTGGCAGTCACTATGTGAACCAGGCTGACATTGATCTGAGAGCTGTCTGCCTCGGGCACCCAAGAGCTGGGATTAAAGGTACACACAGCAGAGGCTGGCCTTGAATTTGTGATCTTTCTGCCTTAGCTTCCAAAGTGCTGGGATTACAGGTGTATGTTACTGAGCCTGAATCCTATTTGTTCTGCTTCGTTTTGGTGCCAGGGATGGAACCAAGGGCCTCTTGAATGCCAAGCACGTGTTCTACCACCGAGTTACACCCTCAGTGCCAGCCTTGATAAGTTTCTTATGTATGGGATAAGACAGCTCCCACTTGGCAGCCCTGCAATTTCCAAGGCATACTGTGTGATCTAATTTTATGGCCACGGCTCACTTGGGGCTGTAGGAAGCATTGCAATGGAGGAGCATTTTTCCTGATGATAGTTCTGGATATAATTTTAACGGCTGGCAAATGGAACTGTATTAGTGTATAATTATGAGGCATGTCAAGGTGTGCTCAGAACCTGACATTTTCATTACGTTTATTTTTATTAGTTTGCTTAACAAATACTTTTTGCACAATCGAGCAGGTCAGATATCTAGCAAATGAGGTAATCAAAATGCCGCATCAACTGCGTTTTGATAAAATATTTAAGGAAGCACTCTTCCCTATCCATTTCTCATCAGTGTGTTTTTTCTGTTGAGTCTGAAATAATTAAGCTAGCTTTCGAAGAGGTTTGCTCACTTCGCAGTTGCTTTGAGTTTTACAGGAAGTGGTGAGTGGATACAAAAGGAGAATTTTCACAGACAAAGATTGACAGGATCTGCAGTTTTCTCATGGTTATCAGATCACATCAAGAGATGTCTGAGTGGTTAAGAGCACTGACTGCTCTTCCAGAGGACTCTGGTTAGGTTCCCAGCACCCACATGATGGAACCCCAGTTCAGAGGATCTGGTGCCCTCTTCTGACCTCCATGGGCATTGTACACATATGATGTTCTTACATATATACAGGCTAAGTACTCATACATATAAAAAAACAAAATTAATTAATGAAAAAAAGAATGTTAAAGTCTATATATGGGGTGACAACAAGGACTTCCCTTACCATGTCAATAAACTGATCCACACAGGCCATGCGAATGACTTCAGGTGTTGCTGGGCTATTCAAGGGGAAGGTATTGCTCAGGCCCCTCTCTCTGCGGGCAGCACTCACTGCGTCATATATAGCGAACAACACTGAGGACCCCAAGAACATTCCAGCCTCACCCAATCCCTAAGAGAAGCATAAAAGATAGTTAGAATGCAAGGTTCTTCAGGATGAATTCTCATTCTTTCTCTCTCTCTCTCTCTCTCTCTCTTTCTCTCTCTCTCTCTCTCTCTTCTGGCTTTATCCCTCAGAATGGAGTGTATCTGAGTTGCTGAAACTGGAATCCCCATCCTACTTTGTGAACTGGGTCCTTGTGAGAATAACTGGTGGAAATTATCCCAGGACAGCATTCATCTAAAATGCTCATTCTCCCACCTAGATAATGTCCTGAAGACCAAGTCCCCAAGTGCCCTGGAGGGTACTCTAACCCCGACTCCAGGCCACATGTCTTTTATTTGTTTTTCTTTAATAGTGCTGGGGGCAGAACTCACACATGTTAGGCAAGTGTTCTACCAGCAAGCTATACCACAGCCTCCAGACCATTTGTCTTTAACTCAAAAACCAAAATGGAATGACCGCAGTCTTGGCAGCTGAAAGACAGTGAAGCAGTTCTTGTCCTCATGAGCTAAGGCCTTGACATGTGCTGATGCCTTTGAATGAACAGCATGATGGCATTGCATTTGGAATGAGTTATCAATGCTTTTTTGCATGGGTGTAGTCTGGCCTCTGGTCTGTGTCCTGGGCCTTGAGGGAGGGAAGCTGAGGAAGGTGGTTTTAGGATGTGGCCCCCAAAAGCCAGCTTCCTTTGAGGCAAAATCCTGAAGGACAAGTGGGGTCTGTTCGGGAGGGTTCCTCTGGGGAAAGAGAAGAGACTGGATTCTATTTGGAGCAGGATGGCAAGGAAGTAACTAAACTTTAAGTGGTAGGATGGTGCCCTGTGCCTGACTGGTCTGTAGAGATGCCCTTGGTCAAAGTCAGGTACAGAAGAGGGACAGAGGTAATTCAGACAGGAAGTCTCCTCTTCTGACCTCAGCCTTCTATGAAAGACGGAATCCTCTATAACTGAAGTGAAAGTTGTTTCTGTCTGGCCAGATGTGGGCTCAGAGTAGAACTGAAGTGGGGTAAGCTATGTATTTTCCACATTTGTGTTTGAGAATCCTGCTTAGCGTAGGCTTTTACTGACTGGTTAAAGGCCACACTCCAGAAAGCCTGAGGAGTCCGTGGTCACTGACACTTCATAGCAAAGATCCAGAGAGAAGCTTGCTGAAACCCCATTCTGATTTGGGACATGTGTGGAGACACTGCAGGGGAAAGAACTGAGTCTGTGTGCTGGTGGAATTAGCATACAAGGTCAGTTTTGCTCCCAGGGACCTCAGCCTAGTAGAACAAGATGCAGTCACAGCTTCATGCTCCTTGCTGGAGAGATGGCTCAGTGGTTAAGAACACTGGCTGTTCTTGCAGAAGACCCAGGTTCGAATCCCAGCACCCACATGGCAGCTAACAATTGTCTGTAACTCCAGTTCCAGGGGATCCAATGGCCTCTTCTGTCCTCTGTGGATATTGCACAACACGGGTGCTCTTACCTACATGCAGGCAATACACTCATACACATAAAATAAAAATTATGACCTTGGGCATTGCACGACACGGGTGCACTTATACACATGCAGGCAATACACTCATACACACAAAATTAAAAAAAAAAAAAAAGAGTGAAGACCCTACTTGACCTTCTGGAGTCAGTGAGCAATATCACCCTGCTGTGAACTCACTTTGCAATTCAAAGGAACAAGCAAATTCAGGGGACTGTTTCAAGATCTCTTGAAAGAGGAAGCTGTTACAGGCTGAATCCTGTCTTTCCTGAAATTCACCTGCCGAAGCCATAATCTCCTAATACCTTGGAATGAGACTGCATTTGGAGATAAGGTCATTAGAGAGTTGATTAAGTTAAAATGAGGTCGTTCAGTTAGGACTGGTCCGCTTTTGGTGTCCTTCCAAGAAGAGGAGACCAGGACCCGGGTAGGTACAGATGACCATCTGTAACCAAGGAGAGTAGACTCAAGAAACCAAGCCTGCTTAGCATCTCCGTCTAGGACTTCCAGAAACCAGAAGAGTGGGAAAACTACTCTCTGCTTAAGTCATGGTATTTTGTTATGGAGGACAAACTGACAGAGCGGTCTGAAATTCTTACCTTGGATGAGTATATGGCTATGGGATTTTGAGAGTGCACCAGAGTGACCGAGATTTCTTCTGGTATCTCAGTGACCGTGGGGATTTTGTAGTCATCTGGACCCCGAGAATAGAGCACACCTTCCGGGGAGTATTTCAGTTCTTCTATGGTATAGAATCCCATGCCTTGGATAAATGCACCCTCAACCTATAGGTGAACATTTCACAGGTGAGAAGCATATGATGTTGGCTGAAATAAATAATTTAGCAAGATTGAAAACTGGGCTCCAAGTCACAGCAAGCCATTCTTACAAGCACTGCTGTGGATTTCACCCAGAGTCCTCCAGAAGTTTCTGGAGCCCTGTGGCTAGAGACCTGCTCTCCTTCTCCTGTGAGGAACTGTGCCTGCATTCTTGCCTGGCTTCATCTTTGGTACTGCACATATCTGACATTTGTCTTGTTAATTTTTCAAATCTATCAGGTTCTTTCTCATCTTCAAATCTGTACATGTACTTTCTCCTGATTCTCTTCACCTCTAACCTACTTCAACTCGTCCACCTGGCAAACTCCTATTCACCCTTCAAGTTCCAGATGAAGAGTGGCCACCTCTCTGGATCTCCTCCTATCACTTTCCCTCTCCTCCCTCTCCCCCTCTTTCTCTTTCTCCCTCCTTGGGTCCTGTCCCTTCCCTCCCTCTTCCCTCTCTGTTATTTCATTTTTTTTTCCAATAAGGTTTTGCTATGTAGCTCAGGCTAGCCTCAAATTCACAAGCTTTCTACCTCAGCTTCCTAAGTAAGATAAAATGTCCATCACCATTCCCAAGTTCTGGAGCCTACTGGATGTTCCCCTCAGCCCTGGGTGACTTTAGGAACTGCTTCTTCCAGGCTCTCTGTACCTGCAGCACAGTCTATTGTGTGGGCGCTTGGAGGGTATTTTCCTTATTCACCTCCCTCTCCTTCCTTCCCCCTCATGTTCTAATTATGAACATAATGTTCATTAAAGAAAATTAGGAAGTGTGAGGCTTATAAGACAGAACAAATCATATGTATTCCTGCCATGCAATCACTCATTTTTTCTTGAATTTTATTTCAGTATTTTGTGTATGTGCACATGTGCATGCATGTGTATCACATAAGTTATAAATTATATGTTGCAGAATGATTGTGTGCAGTGTGAACAAGGTTTGGAGGGTGCCAGGGAATAGTATTCTGAGTACATAGCTGACAAAGAGGATTGACAGATGTCCCTTCGGACAGGGCCTGGAATCACATACCTGTCCGATATCCAGGGCAGGGTTTATGCTGAAAGCAGCATCCATGAAGATATCAGTTCTCAGGAGCTGCACCGAGAGAGTAAATATGCAATGGCTGATGTTATTTACTTAAAACAGGCTTAAACCAAAGGTATGTATCTGTCCCTGGCTCTTCCACTGATCAAATTGGTTGTTTTTTACAGCACAGGAAACCCGTCGGTGTTGGTGTTCACTCTGTGAAGGTGGGGCATGTAAGTGTTACTCTTTACCTTATGAGCCCCAGTCAGACAGTCCACTTCAACCTCAGAAAAGGATGCACCATAAACATAGTATGGGTAGGCATCACCTTCCTCCTTTTCCCAGTCCATATTTGTCTGGTAGCCTCTGAGAAGAGAAGTCGGGAGTGAAAAAAAGGCACTTTTCCCACCAATGGACTGGCCATCTGGCTGTAGGGCGCATCTGGAGATGATAGAGTGCAAGGACTGCAGGCAGCTTCCTGGCCTGTGGCTGGAGACCTGCTCTCCTTCTGTGAGGGACTGTGTGTCTTCAGGCTTACCTGAAGACATCAGCACACTAGGGAGATGGATGGCCTGGTGTCTGATCCCACCCTTTGGTGTGTAAGTACTGGGATGGGCCAGAATGTAGCGGTAGCTGTGGTCACTCTTGGCCGATAAATGGCTATTGCCCAAGTAGCTTCTGGATTGTTACCCTCCCCACTGTTCCCTCTCATTTCCTCTCCCATCAAAAGGATCCTATGTCCAGAAAATTAGTATCAGTTACATGTCACCCCTGCCAAGTACAACAGAAGCCCTAATAAAAACACCCTTTACTTGAAATATCCAGTGGCTGAGAGACTGATGGATTCTTCAAAGGCTTTTCCAATCTGAAAAAGATGATTACAAAGAAATATAAGTTTAGGGAAAGTAATAAAAAATACCTTCCAAACAAGACTTCTTATTCTAGGCAAGCTGCATATTCACATTTATTTTTAGTCAGATTTAAGCCTGTATGAAAGCTACTGGGCATGCTTCCCAGAGGTGAGGCTTGATGATAGTTGTTAGCTGTGTTCTGGGCCTCTCCATGTATTGGGTTGTACACTGTAAATACTTTACGACTTTTGACATTTTCAGTCTTTCATATTAGCAAGGGGAAAGGCCATGTTCATGTACTTAGGTCTATATACAGGCTATCCACGGGCACGCACGTGTATTTGCCTTGCATTGAGTTTATTAGATGTCCACTAGATATGATGGTGTCAGCTTCTTTGCTGGAGTGAACTGGGTAGGGGTGGGGAGTAATCAGAATGAGATAATGATGGTTATAATGGAAGTATTAAAAATAGACAATCTTTTGGTCTTAAGATTGCTATTTTTTTTTTTTTTTTGGTTTTTTTGAGACAGGGTCTCCCTGTAGCCCCAGCTTTCCTGGAACTCACTATGTAGACCAGGCTGGCCTTGAACTCATAGAGATCCGCCTGCCTCTGCCTCCCAAGTGCTGGGATTAAAGGTGTGCACCACCACGCCTAGCCCAAGACTGCTATTTTTAAAACATATTTTATTTATTATTTTTATTTTATGTGTATGAGTGTACTGCTTGCCTGTATGTAAGTGCACCTGTGTCATGCAATGCCCATGGAGGTCAGAAGAGGGCATTGGATTCCCTGGAACTGGAGTTACAGATGGTTGTTAGCTGCAATGTGGGTGCTGAGATTTAACCTGGGCCCTCTGCAAGAGCAGTCAGTGCTCTTAACCACTGAGCCATCTCTCCAGCCCAGACTGCAATTATCTCCACTGCACAGGAGAGGAAACCAAGACCTGGAGGCCTTTGCTCTGAGGCCAGTTGTGTGGCATGGGGCAGCAGCACTAGGTGGACTGTACTTAAGAACTCAAGCTGCCCTTATACTCTCTGAGGTATTGGCTCTGAGATGAAGTTAGGTCTCAATGAATGTAAATAGCTCTCATCCTTCTGAAAAAGTAGATGCAAATGCTGGGGCTGGAGAGATGGCTCAGCAGTTAAGAACACTGACTGTTCTTGCAGAAGACCCGGGTTTGAATCCTAGCATCCACATGGCAGCTAACAACTGTCTGTAACTCCAGTTCAAGGGGATCCGACAGTCTCTTCTGTCCTCTGTGGGCATTGCACAACACGGGTGCACTTACCTACGCAATACACGCATACACATAAAATAAAAATAATAAATAAAATATTTTTAAAAAAGTAGACGCAAATGTTAAGATGATAAGATCTTGAATGGGTAGTGCCACCAGTGCACACATCTAGGATGTTTACCCACATAGATGGCATTGATTTTTCCTGGCTGGGTAGTAAAGAGAATGCTTACCCATTCCTCCCATTTTCCTTTAGGGTTTTTCTTGATGATTGGCTGAAGACGGTCCAGAAGAATTTGGCAGGCATTCTGAAAAATAAATATTTGAAGTGACATCAGAAATAAAAGGCACAGAGAATAGCAAAATGTTAAAGAGTCAAGTCGATTTTAATGGTGGCTGTCATTGATGCAGACTTGCTTCCTTCTTTGATAGGATTTCATAAATTTGAGTAACTTGTGGGTAGGCTAAGGTTGAGATCCTAGCAGACAGCCTGAGAGGGTGGGCTCCCACCTCCATCAGTCTGTGATCTCAGCACACTGCCAGAGAGTGCCAGGTTCTGGCCTCCCTCTGGCATAGGGGCTGAGAATGCAGGGGACTGCCTGAGAGCACCCCAATCCTGCTTCCAGGTAGTGTTGTGCTTCCCCTAATTGCACCATACCCAACCCTTACCTGGGATTTTGTAAGGCCCCTCTCAAGGCCCCAGGGCAGACCTGGCTTTGGTAGACTAAGGCTGAGATCCTGGCAGACATCCTGAGAGGGTGGGCTCTGACTTCCATCGGTGTAGCAGCTGTGATCTCAGCACAGCACCAGAGAGTGGTGAGTTCTGGCCTCCCTCTGGCATAGGGGCTGGGAATACAGCAGACTAACTGAGAGTCCCCAAATTCCACCCCCTTAGGGAATTTCCAAAATTTTCTCTGAGTTTCTGCTAATAGGGGTCCAAACCTTTGAAGGAAGCCTGACTGGACCTGACTGGAACCTGACTTGGGCTCCTATAGGTGCTTCTGAATGGCTGATCTGAAGCCATCAGTTCCCTCCAAAATAAAACCTGAGGGAAACCTCCAGCTTTACATAACCAATAAGGAAAGGACCTAGGCACCCCGATAATACAAACAGAAGCATACTTCAACTTAATCCTCATATCAGAATCATAAACAACAAAAGAAATTTACACACTAAAATCACAACAAAAGAATAACAAAATGGAAAGCCAAAGCACTGTTTCCCCACCAAACCCCACCAGTCCTGTAGAACAGTTCTACAAGGAGAACCCCCTAGAGATAACCCAGGACACTGAATTTAAAAGAACAATCATAAACATGATCAAGGAATTCAATGAATTTAAAGAACACATGGACAAACAAATCAAAAGAACTGAAAGAAGATAGGAATAAACAGCTGAATGAATTCATGAAAGAGAAACACTGACGAAAACTCAGGCAGAAATGAAGAAGGAAGTGCTAAACTCAATAAGCCAACTTGAAAAAACAGGAGAAAGCCTCACCACTAGAATGAATGAAATGGAAAACAGAATACCAACACTGGAGGATAAAGTTGAAGAACTGGACCATTCAAACAAAGATTATGTAAAATTTAAAAAAAAACACAGGAATGGAATATGCAAGAGATGTGGGACACCATGAAAAGACCAAATCTATGGATCATAGGCATAGAGGAAGGAGAAGAATTTCAGGTTAACGGTATTGACCAGATCTTAAACAGGACTGTAGAAGAGAATTTCCTGAAATTA